TGTCTTCAGTGTTTTTGATCTTAGCCATTCTGACAGGTGCAAGGTGGTATCTCAGAGTTGTTTTGATTTTCTTTTCCCTGATGATTAGGGATGTTGAGCAGTTCCATAAATGTCTTTCAGCCATTTGAGCTTTCTCTGTTGAGAATTCTCTGTTTAGCTCTATAGCCCATTTCTTAATTGAACTGTTGGCCATTTTGATGTCTAATTTCTTGAGTTCTTTATATATTCTAGATATCAGCCCTCTGTCAGATGTCGGATTGGTGAAGACCTTTATCGATTCTGTAGGCTGTCACTTGTCTTGTTGACCATGTCCTTTGCTCTACATAAGCTTCTCAGTTTCAAGAGGTCCCATTGATTAATTGTTTCTCTCAGTGTCTGTGCTACTGGTGTTATACGTAGGAAGTGATCTCATGTGCCAATGCATTCAAAACTACTTCCTACTTTCTCTTTTATCAGATTCAGAGTAACTGGATTTATATTGAGATCTTTGATCCACTTGGACTTAAGTTTTGTGCACAGTGACAGATATGGATCTATTTGTAGCCTTCTACATGATGACATCCAGTTATGCCAGCACCATTTGTTGAAGATGCTTTCTTTTTTCCATGGTACAGTTTTGGCTTCTTTGCCAAAAATTATATGTTCATAGGTGCACAGATTAATGTCAGGGTCTTCATTTCAATTCCATTGGTCCACATGTCAGTTTTTATGCCAGTACCAAGCTGTTTTTATTACTGTGGCTCTAGAGCAGAGCTTTGAGTCAGGGATCGTGATGCCTCCAGAGGTTGTTTTATTGTACAGGATTCTTTTGGCTATCCTGGGTTTTTGTTTTTCCATATGAAGTTGAGTGTTGTTCTTTCTAGGTCTGTGAAGAATTGTGTTGGGATTTGATGGGTATTGCATTGAATCTGGATATTGCTTTTGGTACATTGCCATTTTACTATGTTAATCCTGCCCATCCATGAACATGGGAGGTCTTTCCAGTTTCTGACATCTTCTTCAATTTCTTTTTTCAGAAACTTAAAGTTCTTGTCATACAGGTCCTTCACTTTCTCAGGGTTACCCCAAGGTATTTTATATCATTTGTGGATATTGTAAAGGGTGATGTATCTCTGATTTCCTTCCCAGCCTGTTTGCCAATTGTATATAGGAGGGCTACTGATTTTTTTAGTTAATCTTGTATCCTGCTATGTTGTTGAAGGTGGTTATAAGCTGTATGATTTCCTTGGTCAAATTTTTGGGGTCACTCATGTTTACTATCATGTCATCTGCAAATAGTGAAATCTTGACTTCTTCCTTTCCAATTTGTATCCCCTTTGTTCTCCTTATCTTGTCTTATTGCTCTGGCTTGAACTTCAAGTACTGTATTGAATACATATGGGGAGAGCGGACAGCCTTGCCTTGTTCCTGATTTTAGTGGAGTCACTTTGTGTTTCTCTCCATTTACTTTGATGCTGGTTGTTGGCTTGCTGTAAATTGCCTTTATTATGTTTAGGTATGTTCCCTGTATTCCAAAACCTTTATCATGAAGGGGTGTTGGATTTTGTCAAATGCCTTTTCTGCATCTAGTGAAATGATCATGTGGTTTTTTTCTTTCAGTTAGTTTATATGGTGTATTACATTGACAGACTTCCATATGTTGAACCACCCTTGCATTTCTGGGATGAAGCCTACTTGATCATGGTGGATAATTGTTTTGATGTGTTCTTGGAGTCTGTTTGCCAGTATTTTATTGAGTATTTTTGCATCAATATTCATGAGGGACATTGGTCTGTAGTTCTCTTTCTTTGTTGCATCTTTGTTTGGCTTGGGAATCAGGGTAATTGTAGCCTCATAGAAGGAGTTTTGTAATGTTCCTTCTGTTTCTATTGGGTGGAACAATTTAAAGTGTATTGGGGCCGGGCGGTGGTGGCGCACGCCTTTAATCCCAGCACTCGGGAGGCAGAGCCAGGTGGATCTCTGTGAGTTCGAGGCCAGCGTGGGCTACCAAGCGAGTCCCAGGAAAGGCGCAAAGCTACACAGAGAAACCCTGTCTCGAAAAACGGAAAAAAAAAAAAACAATAAAGTGTATTGGTACTAACTCTATTTTGAAGATCTGGTAGAATTCTCTGCTGAAACCATCTGATCCTGGGCTTTTTTTGGTTGGGAGACCTTTAAGGACTGATTCTATTTCCTTAGGGGTTATTGGTCTATTTAAATAGTTTATCTGGTCTTGATGTAACTTAGGTATGTGGCACCTATCCAGAAAATTATCCATTTCTTTTAGATTTTCCAGTTTTGTGGAGTAGAGGTTTTTGAAGTATGACCTGATGATTCTCTGGATGTCCTCAGTTTTAGTTGTTATGTCTCCCTTTTCATTTCTGATTTTTTTTTAATTTGGATGCTGTCTCTCTCTCTCTGCCTTTTTGTTAGTTTGGATAATGGCTTGTCTATCTTGTTGATTTTCTTAAAGAACCAACAATTTGTTTCATTATTTTTTTGTATTGTTCTCTTTGTTTCTATTTTATTGATTTCAGCTGTCAATCTGATTATTTCCTGGCGTGTATTTTTCCTGGGTGACTTTGCTTCTTCTTGTTCTAGAGCTTTCAGGTGTGCTGTTAAGTCACTAGTGTGAGATTTCTCCAACTTCTTTATGTGGACATTTAGTGCTATGAATTTCCCTCTTAGCACTGCTTTCATAGTGTCCCATAAGTTTGGGTATGTGGTATATTCATTTTCATTGATCTCTAGGAAGTCTTCAATTTCTTTTTTTATTTCTTTCTTAACCCATTGGTGATTCAGTTGAGCATTATTCAGTTTCCATGAGATTGTAGGCTTTCTGAAGTTTTTGTTGTTGTTGAAATGTAACTTTAAACTGTGGTGGTCTGATAGAACACAGGAGGTTATTCCAATTGTTTTGTATCTGTTGAAATTTGCTTAGTGGCCAAGTATGTGATTGATTTTAGAGAAGGTTCCATGAGGTGCTGAGAAGCAGGTATATTCTTTTTAGTTAGGATGGAATGTTCTGTAGATATCGATTAAGTCCATTTGAGTCATGACATCAGTTAAGTCCTTTATTTCTCTGTTAAGTTTCAATTTGGGAGATCTGTCCAGTGGTGAAAGTGGGGTGTTGAAGTCTCCCACTATAAATGTGTGGGGTTTTATATGTGGTTTAAGGTTTAGTAATGTTTCTTTTACAAATGTGGTTGCCCTTGTGTTTGGGGCATAAATGTTCAGAATTGAAACTTCATCTTGGTGGATCTTTCCTGTGATGAGTATGTAAATGCCTGTCTTGATATCTTTTGATTGATTTTGGTTTGAAGTCTATTTTGCTGGATATCAGGTGGCTACAACCACTTGTTTCTTAAGACCATTTGATTGGAAAGTCTTTTCCCATTTTATTGTTAGGTAGTGTCTATCTTTTTATTTGAGTTGTGTTTCTTGTATGCAGCAGAAAGATGAGTCCTGCTTTCATATCCATTATGTAAACCTATGTCTTTTTATAGGTGAATTAAGTCTATTGATATTAAGGGATATTAATGACCAGTGATTGTTCATTCCTGCTATTTTTTGGTAATAGTGTGTGTGTACTTTTCTTCTTTGGGGTTTACTGCTGTGACATTATCTATTGCCTGTGTTCGAGGGTATATCTGACTTCCTTAGGTTGGAATTTTCCTTCTAGTGCTTTCTGTAGGGCTGGGTTTGTGGATAAATATTGTTTAAATCTGACTTTGTCTTGTTATGTCTTGTTCACTCCGTCTATGATGATTGAAAGTTTTACTGGGTATATTAGTCTAGGCTGGCATCCATGGTCTCTTAGTGTCTGCATTACATCTGTCCATGTCCTTCTGGCTTTCAAAGTCTCCATTGAGAAATCATGTGTTTTTCTGATGGGTTTGCCTTTATAAGTCACTTGGCCTTTTACTTAGCTGCTCTTAATATTCTTTCTTTATTCTGTACATTTAGTTGTTTAATTATTATGTGGCAAGGGGACTTTTTGAGGGGTCTAGTCTGTTTGGTGTTCTATAGGCTTCTTGTATCTTCATAGGCATTTCCTTCTTTAAGTTGGGAAAGTTTTCTTCTATGATCTTGTTGAATATATTTTCTGTGCCTTTGAGTTGGTATTCTTCTCCTTCCTCTATCCCTATTATTCATAGGTTTGGTCAAGATTCTTTAACAGGTGTTGGTTTATGGGAGATGCTATGTGCTGTGATTTTATGGTGATTCTCTGTTCTGACCAGCAGGTGCTTGGGTGCTGGTGGCTTTTGGAAGCAGCAGGAGGGGCCAAGTGACTCTTGGTCCATCTCAGTGTGTGCATGAAGGCTGAACTTCATCACTGCTCCTCTCTGGTCTTGATCCTTATACTCTGAGACAATGCTACCTCCCTACATTTATTTGGCACCCTCGGTGTGTGTGTGTGTGTGTGTGTGTGTGTGTGTGTGCATGTGTACCCAGTCCTGGTAGTTGGAGGTCTCTGGCAGGGCATGTGGTTCTTCCTGTGTCAGGAAGTTTCCAGGCAATGTCAGTAACTCACTGTAAGCAACAGTGTTCTTGGCCTGTGTGCTCATGTTGGCAGCCCATTGGAATCCACTGGAGACTTATAAATGTATCCTTAAGTTGGGTCTACTCCCTGAAAATACTGATTATGTGATCTGGGCATCCATGTAGCAATAGGAACCTGGGATCAAAAATCTCCATTCTGAAGACACGAACAACATTATCATAGATTTCTGGTGGGCCCAGACTTGTGACACAGACTCCTGAGGACTTCTTAGAGAGCTAATCAATTCCTCCAGGCCCAGTGATGTCACCAAGCAGCCCTGGCTCACTCTTTTAGCATTACCTGACTGCTTGTTGATGCCAGGACAGTGAGTTTAATAAGCACCACATTGTCCTACTTCATAGGTACCATAATGTGACATCAACTGTGCTGGGGTAATTGAGGGCACTGCCTGAATTCATATGGTCATTGGGTCCTGTGTTTAGGGGGTTCTTTGTTCCTGGGCCATGCCCTACCACAGGCTGAATTTTGAGCTGGAGATGCTGAATATGGAGCACAAAAAAGTGATGGTGGACCTGGAGAAATTCCCTAATGAGATTAGTGAGGCCTTGAACAAGTGCAAGGAGTTGACCGAGGAAACGGTCTCCTACAGGTGAGTAACTGACTTCACTGCGACCCCATTACTTGGGAGTGACTGCTTTTTACCCTGTTTTTGTCTTTGAACCAAAGTGAGGCCTTTTGTTCTAGCCTGTGTGCCCCATAGCAAGCAGTCTGCCTTGTACTCTTGACTTGGGCCTCTTGGACCAGTTTTGCTAAGAGTGAAGTGTCTGTGAGCCACTCCCATCATTGTCCTGCCAGCCTCAGAGGCCTCTAGATAGAAAAACTATTAGCACCATGATGGGGTATCAGGCATTTTTGTGTCTCTGGGGCTCTGGCAGGGGCTTACAGAGCTGGTTCCCATGGACCCATAGATGGAATATATTCCTATTGGGTCTTCTGTCCTTCATCAAGAATGTTTACCCTCTACCTGCTGTTGCTTTCCCAATACCATGAACAGTTAAGCACATGTTGGGGGAGGCAAACCCTGCTCTCAGAAGTACATGGATCCCTTTCAGTTTCAGGGTTTTCAGAAACAGTCTGAGTCTTTCTGGAATTTGGCTCTTCTCTGGCTTTTGTCAGCTACTAGGTCATCCTGGCATGGCTACAGTGGACTCTAGTCTGGGCATGGGACCTTGCATGGAGGATGTGGGAGTGGCATATGGAGGCTGGATGGGGCTCACCTTGTTCTTTGTGGTGGTTCAGCATCCTTCACAGCCAGCTCCTGAGTGAGTGGACTCATCTGAAGGAAAAAGTGAGCATCTTGAGAGAGGAGAACCGAAAGCTGAGGGGGGAGCAAATTTCACTACAAGAGTCCTGTGAGGAGCTGAGGAGGCTCTGTGGGGAGGCCCATGAGAAGATCTATGACCTCTGGGCCAATTAAAAGCAGGTAGGCTGAGGTATTGTGTGCAGGCTGCCCACCATCTTTAATCATAAAGATGTGCATTCACATGCAAACACACACACACACACACACACACACACACACACGGGACCATCCACCCACTTATCCATCAGATCACCAACATCTCATCCAATTGTTGGTTTCTGTGATCATTTCTAAGTCTTTCTGGAGAGTTAGCCTCTTGTGAGATCACAGGTTGGAAACAGCTTTGAAGGAGCAGTGCCCTGTGAAAATGCCAAAGGAGTGGTTCTCATTGTCACCCATTTTGTCTTCTCTCATATGTTACATCTCAACATCAGTTCCCCCTCCACCCCTCCTCCCACTCCTTCACCCCCAGATCCCTCCTACCCCAGGTCCAATCCTCCTTATTTTCCCTTCAAAAAGTAGCAGGCCTCCCATGCTTTTATTTAATTATTAAAATAACATTGAACCCCGGGCTTTGCGAATGCTTGTTACATATTCTAACAATGGGCTATATCCCCAGTCTTTTAAAATCCTAATTAATGGTCACACCAAGTTGCACAGATTAACTTTGAACTCACAGTATAGTTCAGACTAGCCTTTACTATTCAGTTCTTCTGTCTCAGCCTCTGAGTAGCTAGGATGACGGGTGTGCATCACAGGCTCAAACCTAGTCTAAATACTTTAATTAAAATTAATAGTTAAACCAAATATCAAAGGTCAATGGATTACAAATATGTATTTTTAAGATATAGGTGCTAAATTATTAGTGATCTCAAAAACATCAGTGAAAATATAATTTAGATGTGTCATCATTAGTAGACAGATATCTTTAAAAAGAATAACATAATGGTTGCTTTTCAGGAATATTTCTTGGGAGTCACATAAATGCCAGGAAGTAAGCTTTACCTGGAACAAACAGATAAGATGTCTGTCCTGAAGGAACTGAGGAAGTTATTACCTTTTATCCATCTCGTACATTACAGCTGCTTTTTGCTCTGGGCAACCAACCCTCCAGCTCTTCTTGTGTCTGAGACCTCCAATAGAAGAGGATTTTCCTGCAGGAGGCAGCATCCAAACCCTCCTATTGATTTGTCCCCGAAATTCAGTCTCCACAGGAAAGGCAATCTTACCTACCCATTATTCACAGCCTGCAACTTACTGCTATATATGAAAATGATTATATGCCATCAAATCATAGGAATTTCAGCACCTTGTTAATATTTTAGTGGAAGGATATTTTAAGCTTTCCCTTGGGTAGATACTACATAGTTAATAACTATTTTAGAGTTTTATAACTATTAAACAATTTATTTTTATTTTTATTGAGTGAATATTTTATTTCTTTTTTACTGAAAATAGATCATTCTCTCATACAATAGTTCCCAACCACAGTTTCCCCTCCCTCCACTCCTCCCAGTGCCCACAAACCTCCCCTCTTCCTCAGATCTGCTCCCCCTTGGCTTCTTTTCAGAAAAGAACAGGCCTCCAAGAGATAACAGCCAAACATGACAAAACAAGATAAGACCAAACAAAAATAAGACAAGACAAAAGCCATCATATAGACTGGACAAAGCAATCCAATAGGAGGAAAGATGTCAGAGAGGAGGCAAAAGAGTCAGAGACAAACCCACTCCTACTTTTAGGTGTCCCATCAAAACTCCAACATATACGCAGAGAAGCTGGTGCAGACACATGCACGCTCCATGTTTGCTGCATCAGTCTGTGTGAGTTCATGTGAGCTCTGCTTAGATGATTCACTGGGCCATGTGACCTGATAGAGAGTTTCAGTTTAGACTCCCACTTCCACACAATTGGGTAATGTTCCTTCTATGTCTATTTTGTGAACTGATTTGAGGATATTAGCATTAACTCTTCCTTTTCTGAATGGGAGAGTTTTAATGGCTGCTTTTATTTCACTAGGTGCTATAGGTCTATTTAAATTGTTTATCTGATCTTGCTTTAACTTTGGTAAGTGGTACCTATTGAGAAAATTATCCATTTCTTTTAGATTTTCCAATTTGATGAAGTACAGGATTTAAAGTATGTCCTTGTGATTCTTTTTTTTTTTTTTTCCGAGACAGGGTTTCTCTGTGTAGCTTTGTGCCTTTCCTGGATCTCGCTCTGTAGACCAGGCTGGCCTCGAACTCACAGAGATCCGCCTGCCTCTGCCTCCCAAATGCTGGGATTAAAGGCGTGCTCCACCACCGCCCGGCATAAGTATTTTTTTTTTCCGAGACAGGGTTTCTCTGTGTAGCTTTGTGCCTTTTCCTGGAACTCACTTTGTAGCCCAGGCTGGCCTCGAACTCACAGAGATCCGCCTGCCTCTGCCTCCCGAGTGCTGGGATTAAAGGCATACACCACCACCACCCGGCCCATTTTTGTTTCTGATTTAATCAATTTGTATATTCTCTGTCCATCTTTATCTAGTTTGGATGAGGATTATTTATCTTGTTGATTTTCTCGAAGAACCAGTTGTTTTATTGATTTTCTTGTGTTGTTCTCTTTGTGTCTGTTTTACTGATTTCAGCTATCAGTTTGATTATTTCTTGCAGTCTACTCTTCTTGGATATACTTAAATTCTTTTTGTTCTATAGCTTTGAGGTGTGCTATTAAGTTGCTAGTAAGAGATCTCTTTATTTTTTTTTAATGTAGGCACTTAGTGCTATGAACGAACTTTCCTCTTAGAACCACTTTTATTGTGTCTTATAAGTTTGGATATGTTATGTATTCATTTTCATTGAATTCTAGAAAGTGTTTAACTTCTTATTCATTTCTGTTTTGGCCCACTTTTCATTCAGTATAGAGTTCTTCAGCTTCCACAAGCTTATAAGCTTTCTGTTTTTTCTGTTGTTGTTGATATCCAGCTTTAATCATGGTGGTCTGCTGAGATACAGGGAGTTATTTCAATTTTCTTGTGTCTGATGAGACTTGCTTTATGTTTGAATATGTGGTCAGTTTTGGAAGAAGTTCCATGAGGTGCTGTTCAGAAGGAATACTCTTTTGTGTTTGGGTAGAATGTTCTGTAGATACCTGTTAGGATTATTTGGTTTATAACTTCAGTTACTCCAACATTTCTCTGTTAATTTTGTCTATATGACCTGCACACTGGTTACATGAACATTGGTGAGATTGGAGTATTTAAGTTCCTAATATCAGTGTGTGAGGGTCAGTGTGTGCTTTAAGTTATGGTAGTGTTTCTTTTACAAGAGTGGGTGCCCTTGTGCTTAGGGCAAGCCGTTAAGAATTAAAATGTTATCTTGGTGGTGTATCCTTCCCCATCACTTTTGATTAATTTTGAATTGAAGTACTTTTTGTTAAATATTAAAATGGCTACACCAGCTTGCCTTTTAGGTCCTTATGCTTGAAATATCTTTTTTCCAATCCTTTCCTCTGACATAATGTCTATACTTCATGTTGAAGTTTGTCTCTTGTATGCAGCAGAAAAATGATTCCTGTTTTTTTTTAATCCATTCTGTTAGTCTGTGTCTTTTTATTTGGGAAATTAGACCATTGATATAGAGAGATATCACATGATTAATTTCTGTTATGTTGTTGTTGGTGGTGGTGGTGGTCGTGGTGGTGGTGGTGTGTGTGTGTGTGTGTGTGTGTGTGTGTGTGTGTGTGTGTGTGTGTGTGTGTGTGTGGTGTTTATATTAACGTTGAGTTTGTGTATATCTTTGTGCACTTTAGAATGTGTGTTAGCCTCTATGTGTATGTACACTTGCTCATGGAACATCTTTAAAACGGATGGAGACTAACTTTAATGAGAAAATTCTGTGCCAGCTTTGTTGGAAACCATGTAATCAAACATCACATGGAGCTGCCCATCTTTCTGCATGTCCACAAAGCTCCCTAGAACAAAACACATAAAAACTGCTGTAACTAAAAGTCTTTCAAGTGTTCTCAGAGTCACAAATATTTAAAAATATTAAAAATAAATAATTTGAAAAGTCAGAAAAGAAATCCTTTGGAAGAAACCAAAGGAATGGAGTACATTGTGGTGATTCCCTTGCAGGCTTTACAACAGGGAGGGAAATACAATCCATGAAAAGACAATAATGAAACTTGGCTCAGCCCAATTTTATTGTGACAAGTGCTGGAACAGGACTCTAAGAGTCTGGACCAGATCATTTAACTTTAGCCATATTTAAGCACAGCTCAATTTTTGAAAAAAGTATTCAGATAACAATTAACTCAGTCCCAAGTCCACAACAATTTAAGATATGTTTACATTGAGATTCCTTACAAAGTACTTTGGACTTCTCTCACAAGAAAGGGTACAGTTGACTCATAGATGGTGCCCACAATATAGGCTGTAGGGAGCTTGACTGAGGTAAACATAATGCCTATGGGCTTCAGGATTGACCACCAGTAAGATAACATAGAAGTCACTTAGGCTGCTGTAAAGCACAAGTGACTTCAGTCATAAGAGTAGGTTTATGGTCTAAAAGCATTGCTCAAGATTTAGGGAACTAGGTCTTGGATTAGTAATAACATTGATTCTGTGAGATATGGCAGATCCTGTCTCAACAGACAGCAAAGAGTCACCAGGTTATAAAATGACATCATTCCTAGCATTCCAGGAAGAGCAGCTGTGCTCCTCACTCCATTGAAGATGTAAGCTGTGTGTTTAAGTTTCCTGGCTTCTCCAGTACTTACCTGTGTACATAAGGCCTTTGTTCTCTACAGTAGATGATGATGAGGAAAGGGCTGCTGAGGCAAATCAAGGTGCCTGAGAGGTAGGAAAGGCTGGATGAGGGTTTGTGTCCCTTCTCGGTTCTCAGTGAATGGTGACTGCCCACTGGAGGATCAGGTGTTGTCCCTCACCTGCTTTATTCTCAGTCTCATTGCCTGCTACCATTTTCTTTCCACCTTGGCCTCTCACCATTGCTGCGTTGACCTTGGCCTTGAAGCTTGGCCTGAATTTTATTCCCTGAGAGATTCTGAATTGCAGGGGTGCTTGTGGCTGCATCTCAGCTGAGCAGAAGTCCCATAGCCATGCTGAGGTTTGAAAATAGGGC